CATGTGTCGAAAGAGACGCCGAACTAATTTATTCTGAATGAGAAATTCTTATTGAAATGAAAGTTGATATTAAACTTCGACATTAAACTTCGATATTTCTAGGATCGATGAATTAACAAAATGAAAATTTTGTCAGCTCCGTTGCAATTCGACTTATACTTCTCGCAGTAATTTTCAGTCCTCCATAAGTTAAATGCGAATTTTCATTCCAATTCTCATTTTCATACGTCATTCTATAAAAATTAGAATTAAAAGAAAGTTTCTATGGTCGACAAAAATGTAACTTTTTGTAAAAAGTTTTTAAATAAAAGTGCATGTTAAACCTTGTTACTTTACACGGATTCTTGCATTTACAAAACCTAGGAATACCATAAATGCATGAAAAATAAATGCACGACGATCCGCCATTCAGAAACGGATGAAATAGGTTTACACCGTAAATGATTTTCAAACTGTTTTTTTTTCGGGGACTCGTGTGTAACCACGCGATCACAGAAATTACGCAGGAACGCAAGAAGGTGTGAAACACACGTAAAAGCTCTCTCCAGTTCCTAATTGTTGTTCCAGCAGCTTGTTGAAAACGACCACGAGTGTGCCTTAACGCGGCGGGGACCTTGCTTTTTCGCGGAACAGTGCCAGGCTGCTATTTACAGTAGCATAATTACGTGATAATTGAACTGCCAACCTAGACGTATTTATAATAAATGCTAGCAACGACTAACAAATTGAAACATTCCGAGAAAAATGTTTATTCAAAGTGGAACTATTCAGTATCAGACGTTTGAGCTGCATTTCACGTAACAAGTAATTAATTATTTAAAGAGTGAATAGTCGTCAATATTATTCAGACTTATTATTTGAACTTTGTCATGTCATAATCATTTAGAAAATATTTAAAAAGAAAAGGTTGACAATAGCGGTAAGGTGACCGAATAGAATTTACTTGTTTTTTTCTTTTTTTGGAAATGTCATAATTATTTCGCTGTCAAGCTATGTGTACGAATAAAATTTGATTCAAGGAATTTATACGAAATATTTCTCGAATCAAATTTTATTCGTAATATTACTCGATTTCATTCGAACAATTCACTTGAAATATTATTCGATATAATGTACGAATAAAATTGAATTCGAAGAATTCATTCGGTATATTATTCGAATAAAATTTGATTCGAAGAATTCATTCGGTATATTATTCGAATAAAATTTGATTCGAAGAATTCATTCGGTATATTATTCGAATAAAATTGAACTCGAAGAATTCATTCGGTATATTATCCGAATAATATTTGATTCGAAGAATTCATTCGGTATATTATATTCGAATAAATTTGAATTCGAGGAATTCATTCGGTATATTATTCGAATAAAATTTAATTCGAAGAATTCATTCGGTATATTATCCAAATAAAATTTGATTCGAAGAATTCATTCGGTATATTGTATTCGAATAAAATTGAATTCGAAGAAATCATTCGGTATATTATCCAAATAAAATTTGATTCGAAGAATTTAGTCTAGATAATTTCCGAATAAAACTTGATTCGACAGATTGTTCGTAATGTTGTTCGAATGAAACTTGATTCGACAAAAATTTATTCGTAATGTTGTTCGAATGAAACTTGATTCGACAAAAATTTATTCGTAATGTTGCTCGAATTGAATGTTATTCGAAAAATATATTCGAAATATTCGAATAACATTTCATCCGAGAAATATATTCGGAACGTTCGAATAACATTTCATCCGAGAAATATATTCGAAATGTTGTTCGAATGAAATTTTATTCGAATAATGCCCTTCTCTGTTGAACAAGCTGTGGCTGATAAATCGAGTATGGAGCCGAGGAAATGGTAGAATCAAGAGTGTGCGCTGAGCAACAATTTCTTGGCATAACAGCCGCAGAAAAAGCTACGCTCGCGTAGCACGATGAAAGCGGAGAAACGGCTCGCGGTCAGTTAGCTGCCTTTAATTGGCGATATATGAAGGCTGCATCGACTCGGCTCGCCACAAATCATCGGTCGGCTCTTGGACTGCGTCGAGAGAGCACAAGAATGAGAGAGGAAGAGAGAGAGAGAGAGAGAGAGAGAGAGAAAGAGAAAGATTGCTCGTGAAAGAGCGATTAACTTCGGTCGAGCTATTCAATTATCCGCGGCTCGTTAACGGAGCCATCAAAAACGCGGCCGGAGCGAGCAACAGATTGCGAGGGCTCTCCCTTCGGAGGAAACGGCATGAAAAGGCGAGGGGGCACACTCCCGCGCGACGCGCAGAAAATCTCCTCCGGGCGATCTTTTCGCTCGCAGAAAAGAGGGATTAGTCAAAGGCGATGAGGGAGAAAGAAAGAGAGAGAGAGAAAGAGAGAGAAAGAGAGAGAAAGAAAGAGAGAAAGAGAGAGAGATAGAAAGAAAGAGAGAAAGAGAGAGAGAGAGAAAGAAAGAGAGAGAGATAGCTCGCGAACGAAATTTTCAACAGCGATCTTTTGATCCACGACTGACTGCTCCACGCTTCCGAGGACACGGCCGGAATGATTTAGGTCGTCGAAGGGACCGGGACGGGATCAAATGAAACCGGGCTAACTTCGTCGGAACGGAAAATCGACCGCGTCGATCTCAAAGTCCGAGGATTCATTCACCGTTCCGCGATTTTTTCAGAGCTACAAACAGAGATGGGCAAAATTTTGTTCGGATCACGGATAAGAGATAAAGACGAACACGATTTTACACGATACGTTATTCGATTGATAAAAATGTATCCGAATAAAATTGTATTCGAATGAGAATTCATTCGTATAATTCGAAGAAGAATTCATTCGTATAATTCGAAGAAGAATTCATTTCGAATACGAATTCGTTTCGAATAACGTTTCATTCGGATAAGAATTCGTTTGGAATAAGACTTTATTCGAATAAGATTTTATTCCGATAAGAATTCGTTCGAATACAAATTCTATTCGAATAAGATTTCATATTTCGAATACAGTTTATATATATATTCGAATGGGAATTCATTTCGAATAAGATTTTATTCGAATAGGAATTCATTCCGAATAAGATTGTATTCGAATAAGAATTCCATCGAATAAGAATTTATTTCAATAATTTGATTTCATTCGAATAATTTAAAAATCTCAGTTCGGATAAAGAATTATGCGGATAATAAAAACATTCTTAGAATAATTGAAGAAAGAATGCCAAAGTAACTTTTATCTCTTGCAAACAAAATCAGTAAAGCTTTATTTTAGATAAAGATCCACGGTCCAATTAATACGTCTAAAAGCATACAAGTTCGAAATCTGATTGTTTTATTTTCAGAGGTCCTGCAAGTTTGCAATCAGCGACACCTTCGAATATTTATCACTAAATGCAATCAGCTCCAATTCAAACCAGACTATATTAAAAGTATTTAAACTCGATGGACACATTATATGGAGATCAGTAGTTAATAAAACTTAGAGATCAGTAGTTAATAAAAATTATAGATCGGTAGTTAATAAAAAATTCAGATCAGCAGTTAATAAAAATTACAGATCAGTAGTTAATAAAACGAATTGATAATTCACGCATAACGGGAGTTAAATTCCGCGAATTAATACGTCGTTGTACGAGGTTTTTTGAAAAAGAGCTCCCAAGAATATTATCGGTAATTCCAAGCTGATTATTCTTGAAACAGAAAATCTCGGCGTGGAGAGAGAGAGAGAGAAAGGAAGGGAGAGATCATTGAAACAAATCCGCGCGGCTATTCCGCGTTTATTTTCGTTTCGGATTAATTGAAGTCCGCGGATCGATCGATGTAAAATGCTGGTCCATCGATCGCTTTAACTGCCGCGAGAACCCATCCGCGTTCCGTTAACAATAGCGACCAATATTTTTTCTCGATACCGGCGGACGAAATCGAATACATTCAGAAAATTGCGGAACAGTCGGCCGATATTGCTTGGGAAATTTGCGAAAGTATTTCACCGAGCCGCTGAATCCACGATTTACAAATTCAATTCTCATCGCGCATCGCGATGACGTATTCCGTCGCAGTTTTCGTAATTCGAATTAAAATTGACGAAGTTCCAACGATTTGAATACAATTTGCTGCTTCATAGGAAATTCTGGTTTTCATACTGCAATGATACATCTCGGAATTGATTCGACCAAATGAGATCATTACTTTGCTCGCACCTTCGATGCACCTGTAGCTTTCAACTTTACTGCCCGCAAAATTCGACAAACAGTTAATCATCTAAATAAGCAATTTTTTTTATGACGTCACCGTATTTTATTTGTATTATCGTTTTCAATATTTGCGAAATATTATTTATTATATTACAATTCGAATATCTAATCCTGCACCATCTTTTAACTTTTCTATTGCTGCCGCGACACCCATATATGAGTGACAGAATTATTTGATCAAATATGAAAATTAATTTGTACGCTAATTTATTGTACCTTCCCAATTTTCTTAGGATCCACAAAATAGTAAGAATATTAATAGTATTAATAGTAATAAGTAAAAATTCTTAATAGTAAGAATATATTAAGACTGTAATTTTGATGTTATATAACTCAATTTCTCAATTTATTAATTCGTTGAAACAAGATAATTTAATTACTTTAAATCAAATACCTGAATTACTTTAAATCAAATATTTTAATTTTATGTAATTATTAGATCTTTCAGTACAAAACGCATAGATTTCATAGAAAAATTACAAAGTATGCATTTCATACTCAATGACCTAACAGATAAAATACTGTAATTTATGAGACGTTTATGGCGCTGCAGTTAAAGCCTTAATATTTGCGATTCCCATTTCTCCGCCATACTTATTTCGCTAGCAGCCAACGTAAAGTATTTTCGGCGGCCAATGAAGAGAGAATGAACTGCAATTTTACTATCATCGCGCTCGATTTATGCTGCCGGATCGTTTCGATGTATCGCAACCGTGCGCCGTTAAATTCCGGGGACGTTAATCGAAAAAAGATCGTTCCGACGTGAGGTGTACTCACTATGAAGATGATCGTCGATCCTCGCCTGAAGCATGTTGAAGCTCGAGCTCGGTTGATAGGGCTGCTGATCGCGAATACCACCGCACGCGAACTGATAAAAGTCCTTGCAAGGATCCACCCCCTTCTTCATGAACGCCACCATCCGCTTCGAGGCTTCCTCGCAAGCTTTCGACTCGCAGACACCCTCCGGACCGTCCCGCTCCCTGATGCACGCCTCGTCCTGCAAAATTCAAAGTCGTTCCACATCTTTATCGGCTGCCATTCTTCGGGACTTTTCGGGGAATCGAGATTCCGACGGGGTTAATTGCGCTACGATCTCACGAAATCTCATTCTCCCGCTTTTCCACTGCAATTTCTTCCTTCTCTTTCGCTCTAGTTTGATCTATGTTCGTATTTTGTTATTCGACGGATACGTCAGCACTGCTTGATAAGTATTTCGAACAGCGACAGGAAGCTATATTTCTTATTTTCCTATTATTTTAATTGTTTATTTAGCTATTTATTTATTTAGCTATTTTCCTATTTTTTTAATTGCTTATTTAGCTATTTAGTTATTCAGTTATTTAGTTATTTAGCTATTTCCCTAATTTCCTATTTTCCTATGTCCCTATTTCTATATTTCTCTATTTCCCTATTTGTCTATTTTTTCTATTTTTCTGTTTTCCTATTTTCCTATTTTTCTATTTCCCTGTTTCCCTATTTCCCTATTTCTCTACTTCTCTATTTCTCTATTTCCCTATTTTTCCTATTTTCCTATTTGCCTCTTTGCCTATTTCTCTATTTTCCTATGTCTCTATTTCTCTATTTTTCTATTTTTTCTATTTTCCTGTTTTCCAATTTTCCTATTTTCGAATTAAAATTGACGAAGTTCCAACGATTTGAATACAATTTGCTGCTTCACAGGAAAATTTGTTTTTCATACTGCAATGATACATCTCGGAATTGATTCGACCAAATGAGATCATTACTTTGCTCGCACCTTCGATACACCTGTAGCTTTCAACTTTACTGCCCGCAAAATACTTCTCTATTTTTTCTTCTTTTATATTTTCCTATTTGCCTAGTTTCCTGTTTCCCTATTCCTCTATTTCCTTATTTTTCTATTTTTTTGTTTTCATATTTTCGTATTTTCCCATTTTTATATTTTCCTATTTTCCTATTTCCCTAATTTATCTGTTCACTTATTTTCCTATATTTCTATTTCCCTATTTTCCTATTTTTCTATCCTCCTTATATTTTCTTATTTCCATATTTCCATATTTTCCTATTGTCTTTATTTTCTCATTTTACTATTTTCCTATCTTTATTGTTTATTTTCTTCTTCTCCCGTTTTCTTATTTTCTCCTTATTTTTATAAAATAAAACATGCTATATTTTTTATTCTTTTACCTTATTTATTTTTGAATACAATTTAATTCACTTTACACTTGTCGAAGGAGACACACTACATTTGTTTATATTTATTTATTTTTTATTACGATTTAATTAACTTCATGTTCATAGAATGAAACATATTACACCTTTTTTATTTAAAAATAAACGAAATAAACGAATAAACAAATTTAACATGTCTTATTCGATAAATATAACATTGATTATAAAACACGAATGATATCAAACGTGGATCTAGCCACACATAGTACAACCATACAATTACAATAAACTCGCACACTTTCCAAAGAGATTGCAACAGCTAGCTGGTTAAAGTCCGATAAATAAAACGAAGCAACGTCCCATAAAGTCATAGAATGGATCCGATTATTCGTCAAATCTGATCATACTCGAGGACCAGCGCGCTTGACTCTCTTTACTCGAGTTATGTCCGCGACATTAATTCCGAGGCGAAGCATCAGCAGATTCCCGGTTCTTTTTCGAATTCTTCAAGATATGATCGCGATGCCAGCAAGCTAACTCTTCGGCAGGCGTTCCACCGGGTTCTTCCTGAATCGAACTCCCCATTTTCCCGATAACAAATGCGTTCGCCCGGCGAGCCCATTCAAAGCGTCCCGTCCCGGCGTCTCTTCTTTCAGCGATTCGTTCTCCTGCGGCGAGGGAAGGAGTTCGACTTTTAAACGGGCCGAAGAAACGAATGTTTTTCCCGCGGTTCATTCAATTCGGCCGCTGATCACGAGGTCGCGTGGTCCTCTGTTCCGGTTTAATGCGGCGAGCCACCGGCATCCTTTTCTCCGGCAATCCGGTACCACCCGTACGTCTTTCGCTGAAAGAGACGAATAGCGGACCCGACCGGTCTCCACGGAGATAAATAACCGAAAAAATCGTGCTGGAAATCATTGCAAAACCCGCAATGGTGGCTGTTGATTCTCGATCGACGAAAGATCTCCGCGGCGCTGCTGGTGAAATTGTGAGGCTCCGACGGCGATCGATAACAAAGTCTCCCAAAGTTTTTCTACAGAGAATAACTAGCAAGCCGAAGAATTCTCGGCTTGTTATTCAGCTGGAATTCAACGGATTCACCGCGATTTTTGACTCAGTGAAATATACAGGGTGTCCCAAAAATGTTTCGCAATCCGAAAGTGGCGGGTTCCTCGGGTCATTTGAAGCAACTTTTTCCTTTACAAAAATTTTCTCCGAGGCATCATTAACGAGTTATTAACGAAAAACAGTGACCAATGAGAGGCGAGCTTGGCTGGCGCGAGGCGACCGAGCCAATGAGCGGAACTGGGCTTCGCGCGCTGGTTGGCTGGGCCGACTCGCGTCAGCCGTACTCGATTCTTATTGGTCACTGTTAGGGTTTATAAAGGTCACAATGAGACCTTTGTTCTGATTTCTTAACAAGAGTGTTAGGGATTCCCCATCTGGGCTTCGCGGCGGGGGCCAGACACATAGGTCCTTGATGGCTAGGGGGGTGGGCCTGTCACCCCGTGGCCGAAATGTTGGTTTTCGCGCCTCGTAAACCTCGTGGGCCCCGTCGACAGTTTTATGGTGGTCCTCCGCAAAGGACTTATCCCTGATTTACGACCAGGCGTTAGCGGAGTTGGGACTTGGACCACTCGGCGTGATTGCTTCCAGGTGCGGTAGATTTCCAAATTTTCCCATGAGGAGGAAGCTCATCTGGAGGCGTTCGCGGTACCCTTTCCAAAGGTCCCAACCATCTTCATTCCAACCAATTAGCGTTCGTTTTTTGAGCCTGCCGTGATTGGGCAGTTTTTCCTCGCCGCCCACCCTGAAGTAAAGGTAGGGATAACCGAGGTGACCTCGTGGAGGCCACACGATTATTCGATAGTCCTAATCTGTACATCCACCCTGATTCATCTGGAATAGTCAGTGGATACAGAGGTCTCCCGGGAAGCTAATTGTTGCAGCCCCCGGTTAGCCAAAAAATAGAGTCTTAGTCGGCACACAAAGCGTGCAAGTTACAACAAAGCTCGAACGATCGCAAGATCAACCACGAGCACCAACGGTCACTGTTTTTCGTTAATAACTCGTTAACGGTGCCTCGGAGAAAATTTTTGTAAAGGAAAAAGTTGCTTCAAATGACCTGAGGAACCCGCCACTTTCGGATTGCGAGACATTTTTGGGACACCCTGTATATGTATGATATATATTCAGGGTGTTCCACAATTATTTTAACAGCCGAAAATGAGGGGAACAAATCACGAAGCGAAAACATTCTGGATTTTTTTTTTACTACGTAACAGTGATTACTACTTACACGATTATTATTTATTAAATTAGCTTTGTGCGAATCATTCGTTGAACTGTGTTCGAACACGGAATTATTAAAATTAATCTTCACTTAAATAAATCTTCACCGTACACCTTGCTTAAAAATTTCATATGTTGACCTTGACATAACCTTGACATATATAATCTGGACATCAAGGTTATGTCAAGGTTATGTCAAGGTTATGTCAAGGTTATTGATGATATTCTTCATATTTCTCTAACAAACATATCCCTTACGTCCTTTAACACGATTATTATTTATTAAATTATCTTTGCGAATCATTCGTTGAACTATGTCCGGACACGGAATTATTTAAATTAAAATATCATTTACGTACTTTGTTAATCTTCACTGCACACCTTGCATAAAAATTTCATATGTTGACCTTGACATAACCTATTTCATACGTTATACACAAAGTGTCATGCAGACTAGAAAATTAAAACGACCGTCACGCTTAAATTACTTACTATTTCGGGTCCGAAAAAGTAGTAAATATTCTTCAGACGTTCTAAAGTAATGGTGAACAGCGTTTTTCTTAAAAATATCACTGTTACGTAGTTTTAAAAAAATCCGGAAAGTTCTCGCTTCGTGATTTGTTCAATACTTCGAACGCGGCTCGAGTCCGTCCCCCAACCATCTGTCAAAGCCTCGTGCTGCGGGCTCTCGAACTTCGCGCCGTCACCTCTCATTGGTCAGTGTTTTCCGTTAATAACTCGTAAACAAAGCCGCAGATCGCATTTTCGCAAAGGAAAAAGTTACTTCAAATGACCTCAGCTATCCCTCATTTTCGACTGTTAAAATAATTGTGGAACACCCTGTATAATCACGACTGTAACAGTGGATCAAATTGGACGAATTTAATAGATGGCCCATTAACAGAATGCAAATATTTATGCAAAATCAAAATGGCCAACATTAACGAAGGAAAACTGGAATCAAATAGAAATTTCATTCATTGTTCAACGATTTCAATAAGTTGAAAAACTAGTACCTTGAACGCCTTTAATTTGTCCGCTGTTTTGCACAACTCCCATTCATTTTCGCCGAATAGACAAAATCAAAATATGCAAAACCGGCGGTCTAGTGGTAACGGATTTGAAATTTCAGAGGCTTGATAATTTATACGACGACCTAGGATGACGTCCTCAAAAACTGTTCAACGACGAAGCAAGATACTCTTGATTACATTTTCCCTCGGAAAGTCTTCTTCTCTTTTCGTTTCTCGACGTCGACAGCTTGGTCATTAGCGACTAAAATTTCGAACCTAACTAGAACGTTTAATGGAATTCGATAGAAGAAAGTGATGCGTTTATCAAGCGAGATCAATGTTTCAAAATATTATGTTGATTTTTATCTTTTCTCGGAAGATAGAATCTCACGCTATAAATCAGAATTGTGCAGAATTGCAACAGAATTACTGTTTTAAATTCGGAATTATAATTGAAAAATATTGCAATTACTTTGTAATTCAATCACATTGTAATTCGTAGTTCAGTTCTCCGTTCGATCAAATTTACAGTGTAATTGTT